TTTCGGGGTGAGCTCAACACCTTAATGGCCAGCACTTTGGGGAGGCCAAGGTGGCGAGGATTGCTAGTGGACCAGGAGTTCAAGGGTGCGGTGAGCTGGTGATCCGAGCACTCGCATTCCAGCCTGGCAACAGAGAGTGCGGACCATGTCTCATGAACACACACCACACAGACATTGGTTTCCTCAAGTTCTGGGACGGAATGGAAGTGGAGATTAAGCGGTGCCAGATAAGGTGCCAGCATGGCTTGGTTCTGACTTGAAGTTGAGCTGCCTTCTGGTGTCCTCACAGGGAGCAGATGAGGAGAGATATCAGGGAGACTTGGGAATCTACTTCACTCTTGCTTAAGGCCACAGCCCATATCATGCTTTGAACACGGGAATCCTCGGTGGTGCACACGTTCAGCCCTTATTGTGGCTGGCATACCTGTGTCCAGACCCACTTTTCTGGAAGTTTCCAGCTTCATGTGTTTCTGGCAGATCAGGGTCCTGCCTCCTAGGTCACTTCCCTGATGGTTATGGGACAGTCAGTAAGAAGCCAGGCTCCAGCAGTGCCTTGAATTACTACTAAAAGCTATGCTTATCACGGCTTCAGCAGAAGCCTTCCACAGCAGGGGTCCAGGGGGTGATCTCATGTCAGTGGGGGCAGACAGCAGGCAGTGGTGATTAATCTGAGTTCTTTTTTTTGTTTTTTTGAGACAGAGTCTTGCTCTGTCGCCCAGGCTGGAGGGCAGTGGTGGTGTGATCTCGGCTCACTGCAGCCTCCGCCTCCCAGATTCAACCAATTCTCCTGCGTTAGCCTCCCAAGTGGCTGGGATTACAGGAGCGTGCCACCATGAACAGCTAATTTTTGTTTTTGTTGTTATTTGCTTTTTTTTGGTGGGGGAACAGAGTCTCAGTCTGTCGCCCAGGCTCCAGTGCAGTGGCACAATCTCAGGTCACTGCAACCTCTGCCTCCCAGATTCCAGTGATTCTCCTGCCTCAGGCTCCCGAGTAACTGGGATTACAGCCACACGCCACCACACCTAGCCAATTTTTATTAGTAGTAGTAGTAGTAGAGATGGGGTTTCACCATGTTGACCAGGCTGGTCTTGAACTCCTGACCTCAGGTGAGATCCACCTGCCTCGGCCTCCCAAAGTGCTGGGATTACAGGTGTGAGCCACCACAACAGGTCTTAGTCTGAGTTCTTGGAGGCAGGTTTGCATCCCATTTTTTCGCTTTGGACCAGTGAATTCCTGATGCCATCATAGAACTTTCTGCAGACTAGGTGTTTGGGTGGTCAGAGGGTCAGATTGATTTGGGAGTGGCAGGTGAGGACTCGGGATAGAAGATGGTCTTTCTGCTTTGGAAGAGAGGCATGGTGCTGTGCTGGGGCTTGGGGATGAGCTGGTGATGGGTGGCGGACAGGAGGCCTCAGCTGGGAGGCCAGGCTGCTCTTGACTGAGCCAGGAGCCACAGTAGCTGCCCAGGCAGGAGGGATTTGTGTGGGCGCCAGAGCTCTGGTGGGTGCACATTTGTCAGGGAAGAGCAGTATCCAAATGCGGGCGCTGCCCCCTCTGGAGCTGCTGCCAGCCAGGGAGGGCAAGTCTCTGGGCAGCAAAGGTAGGATTAGCTCCTGGCCTAATGGCAGGCAGAAGAGAAGCTGCAGGAGGATATGAGTTTGTTGTGGAAGAGGTGGGGCCTGAAACCGTGAAGACCGAGAATCCTGCCCTCAATTTCTGATTGACACTATTGACTAAAGGTGGCTTTTTTCATTGGTGGAGGAAGGGCAGTAGTTCGTTTATTCAGCCTCAATTTATCTATCCATATCCTGGGCATGAGAGTACCCACCTCTCTCCTCGGATATGTGGAGGGATCACGTGGGACAATCAATGGATATAATAATTGTTTCAAATCCTGCATATACCTCATAGATGTGAAGTGGTTGTGTCATTTGTGAATTCTCTTGGCCAGGCACCTGTGGTAGGTTAGATAGTGACCTGGAGTTTGTGTTGAGGAAGTAGTGACCTTTGAATGCCTGCCTTTGTAGCTGTTGCACAGATGTTAGGCTTACTTTCAACTAAATGGAATTAACTAATTGATTTCTTCAGTGGTCCAAGTGATAACAGAGCCAACCCTTGTTAGCCCATAGGGGTGAGAGTCTAGCTTAGTGACAGGTTGTTTTTGGGAGACACACCCTTTGTGTCCTCACTTCTCTGTCCCCTGTGTCCACCCTGCTGTCCGTCTCACCCATTCTGCCAGCTGTACTGGCCCCATGGGTACCCAGAGCACATGCACTTGTTAAGTCTAGATCCTTCATCCCTGAGACATTGTTGCACCCCATCACCTCATCACCTCACTTCCTTCAGGTCTCCAACATGTCAGGTCATCCTGAATATTTTCTTTAAAACTTTTTGTTAAATTCTACCTTCATTATTCTTTCATTTTAGCCCGCCTCATTTTTCTCTGTAGCACTTATCACTATTTGATATTGTTGCATATTTATTAATCTATTTTCTGTCTTCTTGGTTAGGAATATAAGCTCCATTAGGATGGAGACTTTGTCTGTTTTGTTTACGTTATATTCTCATCATCTGGAATGGTGCCTGTAGGGCCTCAAAAAGTTCCTAACAGATTAGTGAGTGAATTTAACAAGTAGACACTATTGATGGTGCTGAGCCACATCTCTGCCCTCTCTGAACTTAGAGCGGAATTATGCACACAGGCAAGTATGCAGACTTTGATGCCTGGTACTGCCATTTTGCAAAAAGACTTTTCCAATCCACTGTCTTCTTTTTGAATTTTTATATAAATCTGACTGGGCGTGGTGACTTACACCTGTAATCCCAGCACTTTGGGAGGCCAAAGCGGGCGGATCACAAGGTCAGGAGTTCAAGACCAGCCTGGCCAACATGGTGAAACCCTATATCTACTAAATATACAAAAAATTAGCTGGGCGAAGTGGCAGGTGCCTGTAATCCCAGCTACTCAGGAGACTGAGGCAGGAGAATTGCTTGAAGCCAGGAGGTGGAGGTTGTAGTGAGCCAAGACCATGCCACCGCACTCCAGCCTGGGCATCAGAGCGAGACTCCGTCTCAAAAATAAATAAATAAGTAAGCAAGTAAATAAGTAAGTCTGGATATTTTAGTCCTGGAAAGGATACCACATTTGAAGTCAAAGACCTGATCTGAAATTCTGTCTTCACCGTTACTTGCTGTACCTCTGTTAAATGCCCTAACCTCCCTCACCCATGGTTTTCTCAACTATGTAATGGGAAAATACTTGTTCTGCCTGCCTGGGGCTTAACATTTATTGTAAAGATCAAATGAAATGAATTTCTCCCCCTGCCCCACAGTGTGTTGGCGTCTGGCAGTTGTCTCCTGGCCACTATCCTCTGTTGCAAGTTGAGAAATGTGATCTTTGTTTCCTGTCCAACCCTAGAGATCCAGAAGGCGTCGATCTGTCACAGAGAGTTACACAACATTTTCTACCCAAGTCCCAGTTGAAGAAAATCCACAGGAAGACAAGGCAGGCTCTTTTCATCCTACCCGTAATGACTAGTCCATCATTACCTCAGTAACTTGATCATCAGCCCTGTTAGTAGATATCCCTCCCCGAAGCTGATGAAACAGGGCAGAGAGAAAGTATACAAGAGAAGAGGGAGGGTGGTTTCTCTAAAACAAGACCTACAATAAGGACATTATTGTCTAGAAGGAAATAAATAATTGAAAGTTTCTGAAAACTGGGATTTCTTCATCTCAAATGACCTTATTAGCCCAAAAAGTACAACAATTATTTTCCTCACATAATAGTAATGGTGGGAATCAAAATGAATCAGTAGATGGGGGATCTAGGTGGGAATGCTGCTACACCATAGTAGAATCGTTCTGGGAACCTACAGTGGGGAAGGATCACTTGTAGCAGAAAGATCCAGAGTTGTACGGAGGGATCATGTCAGCAGTGATCACTTTTCAGTAACTGTCCTTTCCTGCTGATCATTTTAGGATCACTGTGAGGTCAGATTGGATGGTGGGAGTGGATATCAATTTTTTTTTACTGCCTACATATGCTTCATGAGCTATAATTTGTCTTTTTCTCTTCCACAGATCTCTGTTTCTTTTCCTTACTTTCATGCCCATAATTTATCATACAGATGTGGTTTAATGCTTTGTTGATTTGACATAGATTCCTTTTCCATTTCATTGATTGCTACTAAAAGATGCACAAGGCTTTCAGGTCCTCACATGAATGGTGAGATGAGATCCAACATCAAGAATCCGAAGCAGAGACACTTGTGGTTTTGGAATGTGTAAATAGAGCTTGGTGATTTTCTGTTGAGTTTGTTGGGGGAATGCATAATGATTAGGATTGGGTGTTTTTCTATTTTAAAAAGTTGCTTCTAGAGGCATAGAAGACAATTCTGATACACTGTTTAAATTTTCCATACAAATCCAGGCATGTTTATGAAAAAGAAAAAAATACCAGTACAAAACAAATAAGATCTGATCTGACTGGGCGTAGTGGTGCACGCCTGTAATCTTAGCATTTAGCGAGGCCGAGGCAGGAGGATCCCTGCCTTAAAAATATTTTTAAATTTAAAAAATAAAATTTACAACTATAAATTAAAAATTTTAAATTTTAAAAATTTAAAAAAAGATCAAACGAGACAAATGCTATTCACATGTTTCTTGTCTTGTTATTGCCACTTCAAGTTCCCATTTATTTTGGCCAGTGAACGTTTGAAAGACTCAGATATGAAGTTCAGGGGCCATGCACTTTGTGTCTCTCCCCAGTATTAATGCATTTATACCTGTCTATTTTTCTTTTTCTTTTGGTGGGGGAGAGAATGCCTGTTGTGTACAGCAGGACAGTGGGTCATTGTGTATGTACAAAAGTGATGTGGATTCCTCCCAGACTCATTAGTGACCAGGGCTGCTGGCCCTGTTTGGGTTTCCTAGACTAGAGAAGGAGACAGGAACCAGGATGGGAAGATGGATATGTTACATTTTAAGCTGGAGCTTCCCCAGCAGTCCACGGAGCATGTTCTCGGTGTGTAGCTCATCCTGACTTTCTCCTATCAATTAATTACATGTGAGTCAGTCCACTGGGAGGCCGTCCTCTCCCTTGTGTCTTTTTTTTTTTTTTGGAGGACGAGGGCTCGCCGTGGGTGCCCAGGCTGGAGTGCAGTGGCCGGATCTCAGCTCAACTGCAAGCTCCACCTCCCGGGTTCACGCCATTCTTCCTGCCTCAGCCTCCCGAGTAGCTGGGACTACAGGGGCCGCCACCTCGCCCAGGCTAGTTTTTTGTATTTTTTAGTAGAGACGGGATTTCACCACGGTTAGTCAGGATGGTTCTCGATCTCCTAACCTCGTGATCCGCCTTCTCGGCCTCCCAAAGATTGTGGCTGGATTACAGGCTTGAGCCACCGGCACCCGCCTCCCTTGTGTATGTTTTTAATAGACCAGAGCCTTCTTCTGATTTCTAGAAGACCCACACTGTAGCAGGCCCTCGTCCCCACGTAGCTTGGGATTTAACTTAGGCCAATCGAATGTTTCACTAAAGTGCATGTTAACTGATATGGGCGTTAATAGCTCAGAAAGTTCTAGGCAGTGTTTCCTGCATGGCTTACGCTAGTGTATGTGAGGGCCCCTTAGGTTTCAGCCAAGACAGGTGACTCTTAGCACCCAGAGCCCTTCAGATCTGATGGCGGTTGGTATGTTGGTCCTTCTGATGATTTCAGAGGATGGTGGCCCTCGTGATGCAGAGCATGGCGTTTCTCCAGTCCTCCTTTCCTGTCCCGGGATCCCAGTTATATGTGAACGGAGACCTGAGGCTGCAGCAGAAGCAGCCGCTGAGCTGTGGTGGCCTAGATGCCCGATACAACGTAAGGGCGCTTCTCATTGTCTAGCTCCTTTGTTTCTGTGTGTTACTGTTCATCGAGTTCTTTGAAGAGGGGAATAAAAAGTAGAAACATTTCTCTGTGGGTGGCTTTCAAGGGGCCTTCTGAGGAATTCTTGCCATGAAGTCTTTTCAGGCTATGAAGATACACATGTATTTACACCTAGAGGGAGACAGAGAAAAAAAATCTGTGTTTGTTGAATAACTAAATTGTTTATTGTTTTTAGGTACACATGTGCGTGCGTGCATACACACACACACATATTCTCTCTTCCATACACACACTTGGAGTATGTGTTTCCAAGAGATTATGTAAAATGATGATGTAAAATGCTCATGTAAAGTATTTCAGAAATACTACTAGACAGTTTACTGAACCCATAACATATGCCACCCCTGAGTGCGGGGGGTTACCTGTATCATCTCCTTTAATCATCACAGCAACCTCTGAGCTGCCTGCAATGTCCTTTCCCAGCACTCCAGCCAGTGGTCCCTTTGCTGTCCCCCTTGCTTCCTTGCAGCCACCTTGGCCTTTTTGCTGTTCCTCAAACCCGAGAAGCAGCTGCCACCTCAGGGCTTTTGCTTTTGCCATTTCCCCTGTCAGGCATCCGTGCGGCTTATCTGACCACGCCATTCAGGTCCCTGTTCAGATATCGCAGAGCACAGTCCTTCCCTGACCTGCTTCTACAGCAGCAGCCCCTCCCTCCACCATCTCTCAGCCACTCTCTCCCTCCTGCTGCCTGGCCTACTCAGGACACGTGTTTATGTGTTTATTTGTTGTCTCCCTCAGGCTTGACAGCAGTGGCATCTCATACACTATCACGTCTGTGCCTAGCTTATCATGTCACATGATAAGCTCACAGAGAGACTTGTTTAAAGAATGAACTCATTTTGCAGAAGACAAAACTGGGGCTTACAGTGATTAATTTTCCCAAAGACTCACATCTTGAAAGTATAACAGAGCCAGGAACTTTCTGTGTCCGGAACTCGTGCATGTAACCACTCATTCTTCACCTTTATTTTATCACAGTGGGGACCATAGAAGTTGGGCTGCTGTACTTTGGAAAATGAAAAAGGGAAATTATCAGTTATAAGCCATCCTCCCACCTCAGCCTCCAAGGGTACTGGGAATACAGACATGAGCTACCGCACCTAACCTTTTTTTAAAACAATTTCATTTATAATTTTATTTATTTTTTGTAACAAGGTTTCACTTTGTCACCCAGGCTGGAGTGCAGTGGCGCAATCATGGCTCACTGCAGCCTCGACCTCCCCAGACTCAGGTGATTTTCCTACCTCAGCCTTCTGAGCACCTAGCTGGGACTAAGGTGCATGGTAGCATGCCTGACTAAATTTTACATTTTTTGTAGAGATGGGGCATGTTTCTCAGGCTGGTGTCAAATTCCTGGACCCAAGTGATCTACTCACCTTGGCCTCCTAACATGCTGGCAGGTGTGAGCCACTGTGCCTGCCCTCGCACCACCTTTTTAATAAAAAAACTAGAGTCTCACGCTGTGGCCAAGGCTGAAGTGCAGTGGCCTACTTATGACTCATTGTGCCTCATACTCCTGGAGGCACCACAATGCCTATTTTATTGAGATTTTTTTTTTTTTTTTTTGGTAGAGATGGGGTCTTTATGTTGCCCAGGCTAGTCTCGAACTTCTGGCCTCAAGCAGACCTCCTGCCTCAGCCTCCCAGATTGCTGGGGTTACAGACATGAGCCATGACATCCAGCAGAGAGAGATTTTATAAGTAGCTTTAAAACCCATGAAACATGGACACTGACCACTTATTTTCATCCCAACAGAAGGAAGGACAGAGTAAATGAACTTAAATTGTTGCAAGAGAGTTTATTCATCTTTGAAGAGAAGATTATTGATACTGCAGTAGGCCACCAAGAACGAGAGGGTGCTCTGTGGGACCAGCCTGGGTGGGCAGAAGGGTAGAAGGAAGAGAGGAGGAGTCTCCCAGGTGCTCACACCACATCCTCCTCCTGTGTCCCAGGTATCCGTGATCAATGGGACCAGCCCCTTTGCCTATGACTATGACCTCACCCATGTTGTTGCTGCCTACCAGGAGAGGAACGGTGAGTCACAGGTAGAGCTCAGTCAGCCGCTGCTCAGGACTTTCAAGGTTGGTGGGGGCAACAGAGACAAGCAGAACTGGAACCCTTGTGATAAAAATGTGAAAAGCTGTGAATGCTCAACGATGGGAGCAAATGTGCTGTCCAGGATTTGTCCTTTTCGTCCTCATCTTCAGACCTGGGACCGCCCCCACCCCTCCAGCATCCCATGGTCCAGAAGGTTAGTGATAGTTAAATGCCATCATTTTCCCACCACTGGCTTGATGAGTTTCCCTTTTAAAAAATGTAAGCCTAATTGAGTTGTTCCCCATACCACACCTATAACAGATGCCAAAGACAAATTGCTGTTCATGCTTTTCAGAGAGAAGCAGAGGACGTGAGTTAGTCTCCCCACACTAGCAGTCCAGCAGGAGAACAGGAGTGCCCCTGCTTCCTGCCAGAAGGCACAGTGTGCTCATTCCTTACAGAGCTCTAGGCCAGGGCACGTGTTGACTCTGCTCGTTTGGCTGGTCAGTGACTGAGGTTTTCTGTAAAGGCATCTACAGTGTTACTTGGCAAGCAGACGTCATGGAGACGACACACAAACATTTCACAAGGGAGACGACTGCAAATCCAGTATTGCTTTCTGATTTCATGTCATACATTAGCAGCATTTTTCTAATAATAAAGGGAATTCTAAAACAAAACTAAAAAGCACGGCCCAAGAAACTGATGTTTTTCTTTACTTTTTTCACTCTTTATTCTTATGTGGATTTTTATTTTTTTATTTATTTTTTATTTTTTATTTTTATTTTTGAGATGGAGTCTTGCTCTGTCGCCCAGGCTGGAGTGCAGTGGCGCGATCTCGGCTCACTGCAAGCTCCGCCTCCCAGGTTCACACCATTCTCCTGCCTCAGCCTCCAGAGACGGCTGAGGTGCCCACCACTACGCCCGGCTAATTTTTTGTATTTTTAGTAGAGATGGGGTTTCACCGTGTTAGCCAGGATGGTCTCAATCTCCTGACCTCGTGATCCACCCATCTCGGCTTCCCAAAGTGCTGGGATTACAGGCGTGAGCCACCGCGCCCGGCAATTATTTGTATTTCTATGTAAAAAAAGTATTTCCCCACACTGCTACAAAGATCTAATTTTTTTTCTTGAAGAGGCACAGGGTCATGTTCTGATGCTCAGGCTGGAGTGCAGTGCTGTAATCATAGCCAATTGTCACCTCGAACTGCTGTGGGTTCAGTGATCATCTCACCTCAGCCTCCTGGGCCGCTAGGACTACAGGCACGTGCCACCATGCCCAGCTAATTTTTTTATTTTTTGGTAGAGAGAGGGTCTCGATATGTTAGCCAAGCTGGTCCCAAACTCCTGGCCTCAAGTGACCCTCCCACCTTGACCTCCCAGATCCTTGGGATTACAAGAATGCGTGACTTTGTCCAGCCAAACATATTATTTAGAGTGGCAACATGTTATTCTTTCAGTCAGCCATTCAGCAATTGTAGATGATCACATGACCATTTCCAAGTTTTTGACGTATTTTAATATAAATATTAGTCCATTTTACATGGCTGTAAAGACATACCGAGACTGGGTAATTTATAAAGAAAAGAGGTTTAATTGATTTGCAGTTCTGCATGGCTGTGTAGGCCTCACAATCCTGGCAGTAGGCACCTCTTCACAGGGCAGCAGAAGCGAGAATGAGAGCAGAGCTAAGGGGGAAGCCCCAAATAAAACCATCAGATCTCGTGAGAACTCACTATCATGAGAACGGCATGGGGAAACTGCTCTCATGATTCAGTTACCTCCACCTGGTCCTGCCCTTGATACATAGGGTTTGTTACAATTCAAGGTGAGATTTGGGTGGAGACACAGAGCCAAACCATATCAAATATTTTTTTGACAAGTATCTTAACAAATTATTTGTTAATCTACTTTATACACACAATTTTTAATGCTTTCGAATGATTTCTTTCAGTTCTGAAGTACAGAATATCCCACAGGAATAAAATAATATTTTTATAGCCGGGCGTGGTGGCTCCTGCCTGTAATCCCAGCACTTTGGGAGGCCGAGGTGGGCAGATCACCTGAGGTTGGGAGTTTGAGACCAGCTTGACCAACGTGAAGAAACCTCGTCTCTACTGAAAATACAAAATTAGCTGGGTGTGGTGGCGCATGCCTGTAAACCCAGCTACTCAGGAAGCCGGGGCAGGATAATTGCTTGAACCCGGGAGGCGGAGGTTGCAGTGAGCCAAGATCATACCATTGCACTCCAGCCTGGGGCAACAAGAGTGAAACTCCTTCTCAAAAAAAAGAAGAAAAAAAAAAAGAGTATTTTTATAGCCCTCAATATATTTTGCCAATAGGCTGCCCCCATCATGGATTAATGGTTAATGATTGTATTGCAGTTGCCACCATCCTGAATGACTCCAGCTTCCTCTGGCTGGTGGGCAGAGCCATGAAACTCCATTTGTGATTAATGCTGTCATCCAATATCCTGTGGAAACCATATCATATCCTTTCTGTTAGAGAGGCAGTGGTAACTCAGCTTCCAAAAAGGAAAGATTCCAAACTTGTCGCCAGCAGAAACAGATGTGGGAACCTTTGATTGGAAATTGCTATAGCACTGTATCTCCACATAAATGACTGAGTCTGCTCTTTATACAGGGGGGGAAATCATTTCCTGTTCGTATTTCTTTCTGAGCCATTCTTCTAAGTCAGAATCATCCATATTTATTTTTTAATAATCTTTCATTATTCCTTTCATCTTAAGAGTATTTGAAATATTCTTGCCATTTCCTGTCTGGCCTAAACCTTAGTTTACTTTGACTTATACCATGTGGTCCTCAACTCTTTAACTGTCTGTTCTTATCAGCCAGGATTCTGGGAGATGGTAAAGTTCGCCTGGGTGCAGTATGTCAGCATCCTGCTTATCTTCCTCTGGGTGTTTGAAAGAATCAAGATCTTCGTGTTTCAGAATCAGGTGGTGACCACCATCCCTGTGACAGCAACGCCCTGGGGAGAAATGTGTAAGGAGCGCTTATCCTAGGAAGGCCGTTTCTGAAGACTCGGCAGGACCGTGGCTGCCTCATTGTCATCTCCTGGGAACATCTTAGGACCTTTTGAAAGAGCCCAGAGGACACATGCGGGCTTGTGTGCTTTTCCCCTCAGAGACAACAGTTCTTTCCAGTTTTGCTCTACACAAGTTCCGTATCTTCAGAGCTCCTGCAGGATCACCAAGGACTAGTTTGTGGAAAGGTCTGAGAGTTCCTGGAGGCTATAATTAGCTTTTTGGGTTTTCTTCCTTGCCTTAGAGTTGAATTTCAGGAGAAAATGGCAGGCAGTTCAGACATCTTGGAAACAGTCCCATCTCTGGTCAAGCGGAGACTTTTCCTCTGTTGAACTGAGAAACACACTGTGCATTTCTTCCTTCTACTGTGAGCCACTCTTACGCTTTCCGGGGCTTTTTTGTGACAAACATGCCAATCACTAGCACTTTGCACCCCTGGGCATCTCCATTTCCCATTCAGAGCTTTGATTTCCAGAGCTGAGGCCTCTAACTGGAGACCTGGAGGGGCAGGGCCCAAGGGCAAGGGCCGCATTAGCACAGGCATGAGGGAGGGCTGCTGAAGGCGACTTGGACTGTCCACCTGCCCCAGCCCAACAGTCAGTCATCTGTAATCAGCTCGCTGAGCAGCCTTGGATCTTTGCCGAACTGTGGCTGGCTCTTCACCCTATTTTTCCCTCTCTCTGTGCCCCTGATGGCAGACTAAAGTCAGAGGGGCTGTTTCATTCCCAGCCCCCTCAGCAGCACTGAGGGAAGGAAGGATTGTCACAACAGGTTCTTTCTGGCCCTCATCCAACAGCCTGGGCACTTGGCCCTCCTCCTCCTTGACAGCCCTCCCCCTTCCTGCAAAGGACAGGGGCAACAGGAGTTGGGTGTTGGGATTGGCTCCCACTGCCTGACAACCACAAGTTTATTTGGAAGGCTAGTGGGAAGCCCAGCGGCTGGCCTTTCCCCTGACTAAGGATCACAGTGCCCATCAGAGTAGGGCAGGCAGCTTTGGGAAGGACACAAGAAGCAGTGAGGGAGTAAAGAAGATGCTGGCCTGGGCAGGCCAGTCCAGCCTGGCCACTAGCAGAATGCCAAGCAGTTCAGTGGATTACCCTCGTGGCTAAGCAAGTGTCTGCAAGAGCAGAGATGGCTGGAAGGGGCCTCTGCACACGGAAGACGGCTTGTTCAGCCCATTCATCTCCTGAGGATGCGTGCAGTCTCCTCCAAGGACAGACGGAGCTGCTTTCTGATCCCAAGCAGGTCATTACCACTGGGAGGACATGGCCCTTGTGATCCGTGTTTCAATGTTCACCCGGAAACGTACCCCTCAGTGTCGTGTCTCGTTTACCTTGGAGATCATTATCCATCTCCAGCACCCCATTTCCTTTGAGGCGGACTAAAAACAATTTTCCTGAACAAAGCTATTTTGAAGGTATTCAAGCAGAGGAATCTCCTAATACTGTCCCCCGTTGTCCTTTTTAATATTCAGGGCTATTTTAGATGCTAAATTTTTTTCTTGATATTTATTATTTATTTATTTATCTTTTATTTATTTATTTTGAGGCAGGAGTCTCGCTCTGTTGCCTGGCTGCAGTACAGTGGCCGGGATCTCAGCTCCACTGCAAGCTCCGCCCTCCCGGGTGTGACACCATTCTCCTGCCATCAACGCCTCTGAGTAAGCTGGGACTACAGGCACCAGCCACCTCGCCCGCTAGTTTTTTTGTATTTTTTAGTAGAGACGGGGTTTCACTGTGTTAGCCAGGATGGTCTCGATCTCCTGACCTCGTGATCCGCCCGTCTCGGCCGCCCATAGTGCTGGGATTACAGGCTTGAGCCACCACGCCTAGTCCCCGATACTTATTTATTTTTAAAGATGGGGTTCTCACTATGTTGCCCAGGCTGGTCTTGAACTCCTGACCTCAGGGAATCCTCCTGTGTCAGCTTCCCAAAGTGCCAGGAATACAGGCATGAGCCAGTGTGCCCCATCTCTTTTTTTTTTTTTTTTTTTTTTTTGAGACGGAGTCTTGCTCTGTCGCCCAGGCTGGAGTGCAGTGGCCAGATCTCAGCTCACTACAAGCTCCGCCTCCCGGGTTTACGCCATTCTCCTGCCTCAGCCTCCTGAGTAGCTGGGACTACAGGCGCCCGCCACCTCGCCCGGCTGGTTTTTTGTACTTTTTAGTAGAGACGGGGTTTCACCGGGTTAGCCAGGATGGTCTCGATCTCCTGACCTTGTGATTCGCCCGTCTCGGCCTCCCAAAGTGCTGGGATTACAGGCTTGAGCCACCGCGCCCGGCCGCCCATCTCTTAAGACTGAAATGAAAAATTGTTTGTGGTTTAAATTCCCAAAAGGTAATGAAACATGGAAAGATGACTAAAGAGATGTATAAACTTTGGTTTGCATTTTATTAAATTATTTGAATGCAAAACTTGTATAAAGAATCCGTTATGTTCTGTAGCTTTCTAATTAAAATGTTCAACATGGAAGGTTGTATTAGCTATTTTTGAAGCAGGGCTTTGGAGGGAGGAAGAATAGGGAAGGCTGAAGTTGAGCACACTTCTCCGAGTTACTCACCAACAGCCTTGCTGTGCCAGGGCTCTGCCCAAAGACCTTGGAGCTTTTGTTAGCTCCTTGGCAAAAGTTTCCTGGTCCAACCCCAAGTATATTAGGTTTTAGTGGAATCCACATGGCATATGGAAGCCACGGGTTGGAAAATTACAACTGTGTCTGGTGAATATCAAATTATTTACAGAGCATATGTTGGTAGCTTCTGAAACTGAACCACACAGCATAGTTGCAGGAGGAAGAAAGGTAAGAAATATACAGGATTTTATAAACTGAGCTGAAGCCATAGATCAGTCATATTTGAGAAAATTATTGAATTTTTTTTGTGGGAGAGAAATCCCTAATTCTTCCAAATGATTAGTCCAGTTTCTGCCAAAGCAAGTGAGTTGTCTAATGCCCCACTGAGTGCCCATCTTGCAGCTTATTAAAGCAATTCTATCTCTTTGCCTCTCTCTTATCCTATTCTCCACATCCTCTCCCCTCTCCTTTTTCATGCTTTGTAAAGAGGTTTTGGATCTTTCTGGCCAGATAACTTCTAAATGCCGATTAAGGAAATATAAATTACATGATCCTAAGGAAAATAATGATTGCTGGCCAATCTCCTACCCAGAGTTATCATGGTTGGCCTTCTGGCACACATCTTTCTGTTCTGTACACTATTTCTAACTTTTTAAAAATCATGAACAGTCCAGGCACGGTGGCTCATGCCTGTAATCCCAGTACTTTGGGAAGCAGAGGCGGGCGGCTCACCTGAGCTCAGGAGTTCGAGACCAGCCCGGACAACATGGTGAAACCCTGTCTCTACTAAAAGTACAAAAATTAGCCTGGCATGGTGGTGGGCGCCTGTAATCCCAGCTACTCAGGAAGCTGAGGCAAGAGAATCACTTGAACTTGGGAGGCGGAGGTTGCAGTGAGCCTAGATCCCGCCATTGCACTCCAGCCTGGGCTACAAGAGACTCTGTCTCAAAAAAATGAATATCAAAATCATGAGCAACATTTACGTGAACCCTGTACATAAATCCTTGTTTCTGGTTTATTTCCTTAAGATAGATCCTAGAAAGGAATTACCAATCCAAAAAGCTTATGACCATTGTTAAGAATCTTAATTTATCGTGTCAAACCACAACCGAGAAAGACTGCTCATTTCTTCTCCCAGCAGCAGGGAGTTCTTAAGATCCCATCACTGTTTAACAAGACCTCGAAATGTGTCATCCTTTTCAGATGCCTGGGCTCTGCCGTTATTTGTAAGGGGGAGTTTTTTTGTTTTTTGTTTTTTTTTTGGAGACAGAGTCTCGCCCTGTCGCCCAGGCTGGAGTGCAATGGTGCAATCTCAGCTCACCGCAACCTCCGCCTCCCGGGCTCAAGCAATTCTCCTGCCTCAGCCTCCTAAGTACCTAGGATTACAGGCGCCTGCCAGCACGCCCGGCTCATTCTTGAATTTTTAGTAGAGACGGGGTTTCACCCTGTTGGCCAGGCTGGTCTCGAACTCTAGACCTCGTGATCCATCCGCTACGGCCCCCCCAAAGCGCTGGGATTACAGGCGTCAGCCACCGCGCCCGGCCCTGGCTGGAAATATCTTATTTGTTGAAACGTATCATTTCTTCATCTGGACCTGCTATGAAGCCTGCGCCTCTGGGCTTAGGCTAGGGCAGGGAATGTGCAGGAGGAGGGGAAAAGCTGCGGGTCCAGCTGCTAAGATCACCTGGTCTATCCGCCCCTCCCAGCTGGGACACTGCACCGGGTCCCTGTGTCATCCAGTGTCATCCAGGTGCCGTGGCCTTGGGAAGGGTTTGGATTCCAAGTCACCTCCCCTCAAGGATGCCCCCGAGAGTGAGGAGGGCCAAGATTAAGATTCGACTTCCTTCGCTAGGACCTTTATCCTCCCAGGAGTCTCCCTTCTCTGGGGATTTAGGGTGGGGTGGGGTACAACGTTCATTTGTAGTCAGATGAGAGGTGACCCTGCCAGCGCCCCTTGACATCCTCGGCTAAAAGGTGCGCCTCTCAGGGCCCCAGCCCCACTGGGCCCTTCTGCCCCGCCCTTGGTCAGCGCCCCTCCCCCGAGGCGTGGCCCCTCCGTCGAGGAGGTGGGCCAACAGGCTCCTTCCTTCCCGTAGCTCGCTAGCTCCCGCCGGCCACCCCGGGACCGCAGCCACGTCTGAAAGCGCCTCATTGTGTGCGCTCGGGCGCGCTGCGCAGGGCAGCACCGAGGGTTGCTGGCCGGCGCGCGGGGAGTAGAGGGCGCGGGCCGCAGTGCCGGGCTTCCGAGGGAGCTCTGCGCCGCGTCCTTCCCTGTGGTAGCCCCAGGGCACCCCCCCATCCTTAACATCCCATTCTGGGACTCCTGCCCTGTTCCCAGATTGGCTCTGCCTCTAGTCTCCAGGAGCTTCCAGTGGATTGGTCCCCCCACCTCCAACTCTCGTCCATGCCTCTTAGAGCCCCTTTCCCGACCTCACCCGGTGTCCGTTAATAGTCTTGGGACCTTAAGGAGCAAGTCAGCCCCTGCGGACTCTCCCAGTGAAGAGAAAAAGCTGGCTGTGCGGTGGAACTTGGAAGAGACGACTTCTGGGAGCCTTTGCTGAGCCCAGGGAGGGAGGCGTCCCCCACCGTGCCGCTCCTGCTCGGGCAGAGCCGCCAAGCTTTGAGGTGCGTTGGTTCTTCACTCTCTACGGGGGATGTCCCCACACTTAGGTCGGCTGGGGGGCGGGCTCCTCTGGCCTGCACCGGAGACCTGGGGTGACAGGAAGAAGTAGGGGTGGCTTTTCCATCAGCAACGTGGAAAGGGCATCGCCACTGTTGGTGCCGGTTTGAAAGAGTCTTGCTGGGGCTTCGGCTGCGCAGGGGGATCCTCACTGCGAGGGGAGAACCCCTTTTGTCTCGATACTTGAGTTTCAAAGGACATGACTTTCAAAAGCTTTCCAACGGCTTTTTCCATAGAATTACTGAGAAACAGTAGCTTGGTGGGTTGATTTGGAACCAGACCCAGGGGAATTGGAGTCCTGCGTCACTGCTTCTGAGGGCTTCATCCTGGGATTCAGGACAGGCCCTCTGGGCCTCAGGACAGGTGCCTAGCAAATGTTGACTTTCCTTTCTCCTCCCTCTTTCACAGAGGCAAGGCAGTCAAGTTTCCCATTTTTGAGGGTAGGAAAACTGAGGCCTGAAGAGCAGAAAGGACTCGGCTGACTTAAACCCACAAGCGCGTGGGCCAAGTATGAGGGCCTCTGAGGGTGTTATGTTGCTGGGGGAGCCGGGGCTGGGCTCCTCTGCAGCCTGGGAGGCCGGGACTTTTCTGGCTTTGTCCTACAAACAGAGTCAATTGGAGCACGGAGAGCCGGAGAGTGACTTGCTCAAAGTCACACCCCTCATTGGTTGTAGAGACAGACTGAACCCAATCTGGCTTCAGAAACCAAGCTTCTAAAGCCAGGTGCAGTGGCTCACGCCTGTAATCCCAGCACTTTGGGAGACGGAGGCAGCTGGATCACCTGAGGTCAGGAGTTCAAAACCAGCCTGGCCAACATGGTGAACCCCCATCTCTACTAAAACTACAAAAATTAGCTGGTCATGGTGGCAAGTGCCTGTAATCCCAGCTACTTGGGAGGCTGAGGCAGAAGAATCACTTGAACCCAGAAGGCGGAGGTTGCAGTGAGCCAAGATTGTGCCACTGCACTCCAGCCTGGGCAACAGAGATAGACTCCATCTCAGAAAAAAAAGAAGCCAGGCCTCTAGCCATGACTGTCCAGCGTCTTCTGTTTTGTTTGTCCTTGTGGGGCCCCTGCCTGTGCCTGCCACATTCTGTTGCTGGGGCACTGGGGCACCTGAATCTGGTAGAGCCATTGTCCTTGGGTTTTCCTGGTTCAAAGACTTTCCCTTGGATTCACAGAATATAAGTGTGGCCCAGGAAGATTCCTAAGCAAATACTCATAAGTGCACTGTGCGTCAGACATTGTTCTGCTTTACAAATATCCACTCACTCACTCTTTTAATCAAGCCCATGAGTTGGGCTATGTTGTTTCCCCCACTTCACAGATTTTTTTTTTTTTTTTTTTTTTTAATCAAGCCCATGAGTTGGGCTATGTTGTTTCCCCCACTTCACAGATTTTTTTTTTTTTTTTTGAGATGGAGTCTCGCTCTGTCACCGAGGCTGGAGTGCAGTGACATGATCTTGGCTCACTGCAACCTCTCCACCTCCCAGGTTCAAGAGATTCTCCTGCCTCAGCCTCCTGAGTAGCTGGGATTACAGGCGTCCACCACCACGCCTGGCTAATTTTTGTATTTTTAGTAAAGACAGGGTTTCACCATGTTGGTCAGGCTGGTCTCGAACTCCTGACCTCGTAATCCGCCCTCCTCCGCCTTCCAAAGTGCTGGGATTACAGGTGTGAGCCACCGCACCCAGCCTTACAGATTTTTTTTAACCAAGCAGGCACAGAGAGAAGTAACTTGCACAAGATCACGCAGTAAATGGTCAAGTGGGATTCACACTCTTAACCTCAGTACTCTATACCTACTGTCTTTAATGAGACAGAAACCATTCTGCTTCTAGTGTCTTAGGAGGGGAGATGGGTCCAGAAATACATGAACAAGATTGTCCTGCATAGTGATAATAGTATTAATAATAATTTCTCAATATCACCTATTAGTCAATATCGAAATATATCTGATTACCTCTAGGGTATCTCCTGGCAGATGTTTTTTTCAAATCAGAATCCAAACAAGGTCCACATGTTGCATTTTACTGTTTTTTTGTGTGTTTTTCTTTTTGAGAAGGAGTCTCGCTCTGTCACCCAGACTGGAGTGCAGTGGCGTGATCTCAGCTCACTGTAGCCTTGGACTCCCGGGCTCCAGTGATTCTCCTGCTTCAGCCTCCTGAGTAGCTAGGATTACAAGCACATGCCACTAGGCCCGGCTATTTTTTGTGTATTTAGTAAAGACGGGGTTTTCACCGTGTTTGGCCAGGCTGGTCTCCAACTCCTGACATCAGGTGATTTGTCCGTCTTGGCCTCCCAGAGTGCTGGGATTACAGGCATGAGCCACTGCCCTCAGCCTGTTATTTTCTTCTAAAATAGTCTCTTCCTTTTTCTTTCTGTTATTGATTTGAAAGAATGATTTTCTTTTTAAAAATAAGGTAATTAAAATAAATGGTTAATAAACCAGAGAACATTCCAGATTATCCCTGTAATGAGAGGGCTCTGTCACTACTTAGGGAAACAGGCGAATGTGCTAAAAGTACAATCCCACTCCATACCCTGCGTGTGTTGCTGCAGAGAGGAAGTGGGGAGCCCTCAGACTTTATGGCCTCCAGCTGTAACGTACTACAATTTAGACCAAGTCAGGTGCTGTGTGAAGTGCAGTGTGAGAATCCCTAAAGCTCCCAGCCAGGGAAAAGGGTTCGTGTGTTGCTATCTGGTCATCTGCTCAGAAATGCCTCAGGGCAGTGGCTCTGAGCCAGGGAGGCTTGAGGCTCGCTTCCCAGGCTAATTAGAATTCATTTCCCAGTAGATTCCTGAAGGCAGATCTGTTCTCTCCATCAGCATCTGGGCCTTGCAGTCCCAGCCCCCTGCCTCTGGGGGATGCCATGCAGCCGCATTACCAGGACTGGCAGAGATGGCAGATGTGGCCAGGGCTTGGGGGCCAGGCACAGCTTCAGCCACAGCCTGGCCCAGCCCACAGTCCTGGGGTTAAGAATGTGCTTGGGGGCTCTGACAACTTTTAGTGCAGAGTGGGTAATTCATGCCCCTGGCCTTCTCTGGCTAACTGGGTACTCAGGTCGGCTGGGAGATGGATTTGCAGGCACGTGTCTCTCTGCAGTGATAGCTGGAGAAAGACAAACTTCACCTAAGCCTCCTTTAACCAATTAGAAATTTCTGATTTTATCATTGTAATAATCTTTGTGTTTTATCATTGTAATAAAAATCTGACATAGACTCTCTGGAAAATGCAGCAAAGCACTAATAAGAAAATAAATTACCTATAAACTGGCCATAGAAAAACACCAAACTTCAGTGTACATCTCCCATACTTCGTATTTTTTTTAAATAATAGCTTTATTGAGATAGAATTCATGTATGTTGAAGTTTATATATATAATGTACATATAATATATAAATATATATTATATATACACATAATATATAAATATATTTTAAAATGTACATATATAATATATATGTATTATATATGTATATATGTATAATATGTATGAGACATTAGGGATGGCTCTACTTTTTGGCTATTATGAATAATGCTGCTGTGAAAATTCATGAGCAGGTTTTCATGTGGGCTTATATGTTCAGTTCTCTAGGGTGTGTACCCAGGAGTGGATCTGCTGTATCATATGGTCACTCTGTTCAACCTTTTGAGAAAGCACCAAATTGTTTCTTCAGGAAATGCACCATTTGACATCCCCACTTTATGAGGATCACCACGTCTCCATCATCTCACCAACACTTGTAATTATTATTTATTATAATTACCTTTTTAAAATTGCAACCTTCGCGGTGGGTGGAAAGTGACACGTCATTGTGGTTTAATTTGCATTTCCCCACTGCCTAAAAATGTTGAGCATCTTTCCTTTTTTTTTTTTTTTTTTGAAGTTGCAGTTTCACTCTGTTTGCCCCAGGCTGGGAGTACAATGACACGACTCGGCTCAACAAACCTCCCTCTCCCGGTTCAAGCTATTCTCCTGCCTCAGCCACCCCCCAAAGTAGCTTGGATTCACAAGGCGCCTGCCTCATCAATGCCTGGCTACTTTTTGGCATTTTTATTGTAGATAACCGCGGGTTCCCACCATGCTTGGCCAGGCATGGTCCTCCGAATCCTGCCGTCAGGTGATCCACCTGCCTCAGCCCTCCAACAGTGCTTGGGATTCACAGGCATGAGCCACAACCGTCGCGCTGGCCGATGCATCTTTCCATTTGTTATCTTCTTCAGAGAACGGTCTCCCAAATCCATTTACTCATTTTAATTTTTTTCTTTATTCATTCTTAAATTACTTATTCGTTATATTTTTTTTAAATATGCAATCATTCCTGGCCGTTACCAGCGCGGTGGCCTCAAGCCTGTATTCCCAGCACTTTGGGAGGCCGAGACGCGGCGATCCACCGAGGGCTTCAGGAGATCGAGACCTATCCCTGGGCTAAACACGGTGGAAACCCCGTCTCTACTCGAAAAAATACAAGAAATTACCTGGGCGATCAGGGTGGCGGGCCAGCCTGTAGTCCCAGCTTACTCGGGGAGGCATGAGGCAGAAAGAATGGCATGAACCCCGGAGGGCGCGAGCCCTTGCAGTGAGCTGAGATCGCCGCGCACTATGCAACTCCAGCTTGGCACAGAGCACGACTCCCTATCTCAAAAAAAAAAAAAAAAAAAAAAATGCTCATTCTTAAAAAACTAAATAGGATATTTGCCCATTTCGTGTTGAGTTGTAAGAGCTCTTTTTATATTCTGGGTACAAGTCCCAATTTATAGACATGATTTGCAACTGTTTTCTCCCATCTGTGGGTGTTCTTTGATATTCGTGTATTTTTAACACCCAGCCAACTGTGTGAAAAATACACGCACATCTAAGAACATCCACAGATGGGAGAAAAGTATATATGTATGTCAGCTTTGTTACTTGTGTTTTTCACTTGACACTATGTATGGAAGAGCTCCAAGGTTACGCTGCTAGGCTTCCAACTCTGACTCAACAGCCACTGTGTGAATTCTTCAGGCAAGTCCCTTTTCTTTTTTCCTTTTTTTTTTTTTTTTTT